TGCTGAGCATGACGTCATATGGTGTGGAATATCCCTTTGGTCAGTTGGGGTCAGCTGTCCCGGCTGTGCCCCCTCCCAACTTCTTGTGCACCCCCAGCCTACTCGCTGGTGGGGTGGGGTGAGAAGCAGCAAACACCTTGACTCTGTGTAAGCACTGCTCAGCAGTAACGGAAACATCCCGGTGTTATCAACACTGTTTCCAGCACAAATCCAAAACACAGCCCCATACTAGCTATTGTGAAGAAAATTAACTCTATCCCAGCCAAAACCAGCACACTGTACCCATTCTGCAGGCTGTGAAGCTGAGGCAAATCTTTGCCCAACACGAGACAGCAGAGACATGGTTGGCACCAGAGGCAGCTCTGCTCTGCTCCCTCCCACCATCCCTGCTTTGCTCCATTGTGTGCTACAGCTAAAATCTTACCCCTGTGGCTAAAATAGCGCACAAGCAATGCCCCAGAGACCAGTACTGAATCAGTTTAGGTTTTAATAAAGGAGCTTGTGTAGTTTTCATTTTTTTCAAATTTTAATTTTTGTTCTAAATTTTTGAAACTTTAAAATACACTAACAGTAATCGAGAGCAGAGGGGGCCATGTGGTTATGTGAATCCAGGAGCGTGAAGCACCATAGCTCTGGTGCTTCAAGTTTGTGAGAAGCTGAGGTAAACATCAGATAACAATGACAACACTAACCTCTGACATTAATGGGCAAACAATGAATTTGTGTGTGTGCAAGCTGTCCAAAAGATTTACATGTTTACCTACATATAATTTGTTACATTTAAGGCCTCTAAAATGGATTTGGAAAGGATATTTTAAAAAGCATTTCCCACCACCACCACCATTTATAGAGTGAAGCATTGCAACATTTTCCTATAGCTTACAAATCACTGTGCATGGGGAATTTCATTATCTGGCATCTGTTAGGAACATGTTACATTGAGTAACAAAGCTGATCCCTGGATAGCTCATTTATTTAATAAGTAAAGACAAAGACTTTACTAAGTTCCTCCTGCCGTAGCACTGAGATGGCAACCTCACTACTCAGCTATCCCAGCAATGCTTTTAACCCTTAGCCCTGAGGCCGGCACGTAGACATTGAATTTTCTGCTCAGCTGGCTCTGTGTTCAACCACGTTGTGGAGTGTACTTCTCTGCGTTGCACCAGGTTATCTCTGAACATCATGCTTATGTTCAGAGAACAATATCTCATTAATAATGTTATATTATTCAGAAGCCATCCTTATGCAACATGCCCTTCACTATGAGTTTCAGCAATTAAAAAATAGCCCATTAGAAGATGCATTTGTTCTTGAAATGGAGGAGAATGTGTAATTCTGGCATACCTCACCCCAGACATGCAGAAGTTACCATGAAAGCTTGACTATTAAAAAGAAAAGTATACTGTCCTGCTTTGGAAGTAATCCTGCTTGTCTGAATTGCTGCACTTAGCCACTCCAGCCCACTGCTGAGCAGCATGCCCTGGAAAATCAATTACCCAGTCCTTACATGTTGTGTGCATGCCTGGTAGAAGGAACAGGTTTTAAAATTAGGGTAAAATCTTCCCCAGAATTGACTTGGATCCAGCAACAAAATTATATGCATATTCAACTTTAAAATTACAAACTGTAGTACAGCTACTTATTAACTGTACTTCTGCAGAGCTACCAGTGAGCCATGAATGTTTTGCTCTCTGGGTAATTTAGCTATGTAAGACCCATCCATACTCTATTAAACAAATCAAGAAAGTACATTGGGACAGCTGGTTTAGGATATGAATAAACAGATGCCAGACTCTGAATTGTTGCAACTTTACTGCTGAACAACTTGGAGGCGAGCGCTGTCAGGCAGCCACTTATATTTTCCTAGCATGTTGCAAATATAAAATAAAATGAGTTATTTTATTTCAGGGAAGCTAAGTAACTCAGTTCCTCAGCAGTAAGCCATGGGGCCACATTAACTCATTTTCTTGCAGTCATATGTACATGCTTTTAAACTGCAAATCTTTGAGAGTTATAAGAATATAAAACTATCTCCAGGCAAAAAAAAAAAAACACATAAAATATATTGAAAAAGAAAACTCAAAGATATGCCATCAGTAATAGATAATAAATAAAAGGACATTTGGGAATTAAAAAAAATAATTTAAAAAAAACCCCAACCAATACCAGAATGAATAAAACAAAGGCAAAATTTTGACAAAGAAACAAATCACCAGGTAAGAAGGGAATGATTCTGTTTCAGTAGAAATTAGTGCATGATGGAAGATCTTCATGTTACGGAACACCTGACCTTTAAAATAAAAAGTGTTTTCTGGCTTTTCTCATCCGAGGATGAGAAAACAGACAGAAGACTGACCCTCCTGTCACAAAGGCTCTGGTGAGATTTCCTGTGGAGGTGGGTGGGGAGGGGGTAAGGTAAAGGCTAAAAGGATGAAGTGTTGCCCCATAGCGCACAGCTGGACATTGCAAACTAAGGAAGGCTGGCAAGCATTGGATCAGATAGATATATTATATCCCAGCGATCTGCAGGAAGCCACAAGGGACAACAGAAAGCCTTAGGAGGAGTCTTTTTGACATAACGTTTTGCATGGAGGGGGAGGAACTAAGTAATGGAGCCAAAGATATAATTCATTTGGATTATATTAAATGCTCCCAGCAGAAGGTTGGAAAAGCTACACACTGAGAGGGAGGAACAAGTGCCATGGTAAAGAGGTTCACCTTGAACTTACTTTTGGTTTTTAGCTCTTAAGCTGAGTGAGGCATTCATACCATGAGTTTCCTGAGCAAAAACTGGCCCTGAAGTACAGATTGCCTAGTTATAAATAAAACAGTTGCAATTACCAAAATGACTGTCCCTGCTGAAGATGTGCATTTCAATTCTCTGGTCAGCAACACGCAGATGGGCACTGTGCAGGCAGGGAAGCAGAAGCAGCGCATTTGTCATAGCGACAGTGACAAGCAGTCGCAACATCAAACTTCAGATGCTGCTCTGCCTGGAAAGTTCATAAACTAGAAGGAGGCTTGCAGAAGATCCTGAAGTAGACCACCATGGCATGGTGGACTAGGCTGGAAGGAGACAGGCACCCACCCACTCTCCTGGCAGCCCCATGCACCACCTACAGGTATTTCAGATTCTAACACACATTGGATGAAGAAGAACAGGATTTTGACAAAGGAGGACCATTTTTGGCAAGCTGGAAAAGATGTCAGGATTAGGAATGTCTGTAAGGACATCATCAGGGTCTATAATGATGTTGAAAGGCAGCCAAGAACTCCATGAGATGAGACTTAGATGCCTGGGGAATAATGCACCGTTGATAACATCAGTGTTCATAGAGTCTGATACGGGAACTGTCTTTTGCGATCTACATGGGAAAAGCATGCTCAACACTTAGCATAAATTAAGCCCCCAGAGAATCTACTGCTCTGGTCTCCATGTGTCCTCTGGCTGCCCCCGGCGTGACGCACAGCAAATCTGACAGAGAAACAAAGACAAATGTTGATGACTTTGAGGATAAATACCCTACACCTCATGTGGACACTGCAATAGTTCCCGAACAACGCAACCCTGCTCAGACGGAGCTAATTTAAGAATTAATTGGGCATTCATTGCTCTGTCTGGAATCATTTGGTGAGCAAAAAAGGACAGCAGCCTAAAACACAGCAATTACATTTGTTTGGGAGGGGTTTTTTTAATTTTCCATTTCTTCCCTATTTTTAGCTAGATCTGCATTTATTTTTAGCTGAGTGATGTCCAAATCATTTCTAATGAAACTTGCTAAGTGCAGGTCACAAGCCGAGTTTTAGCACTGTCTGTAATCAGAATTCAAGCTGATTAAATGCATACTGAGGGGCAGCCAGCATGAAAATGCTCTTAATATTCTCAATTTAAATTGAATTAAGAGTGCATAGACCTTACTTTATCAGAACAGCTACTAATTTCTCCTGAGAAAACCTATATACATTATTTTTGTAAGGCTAAAGCTCTTTCTGGCTCAGCTATAAGAAAGTTAGTGAAAACAGTTGGACTGAAACAAGAGAAAATATCTACAGGATCTTGGGGAACTCTGGTGTTTATGCCTCTGAGCTCCCATCTTCTAACACATACATGTGCCTTGTCAGTCACGCTTACTGCATTGGATGCAAAATTTTGCCAGATAAGGCCAGCTTTGCACAATCAAATTTTAGGCTTAAATACCTGAAATTTTCACAAAGGGCAGAACAAGAAACAAGCACTCTTAAGTGATCAGCTTAATAGACACTTTGTCCACTACTCTTAAAATTCAGCTGGTTTATTCTAATTGTCCTTAGAAGACAGAAAAAGTGCTCGGCAGCCATCCATTCTGCTCAGGCCAGCAGCAGTGAAATCCCAGCTCCCTTCAAATATCATTTTTCATCTTGTTTATAAAGTCTGCCAAGTTCCCAAAGAATTAAGGTCTTACTCGGCTTTGCCCTGATTGCAAACAGATAGGGAAGAACATTAGCAGCCAGGAGCCCGTATCTGTTTGCATCAAATGTTTTTGTGTGGGCACAGAATATCAAAAGGCTCCTTCACTCGTCCGTGCAACCGCTTGGGTCTGAAAGACAAACTCTGCCCATGCTGCAAGGGCAGAGAAGGGAATTTTTTTAGCAGTGACAATGCCTGTTGATGCTTCCACTAGCGTGACGTTGGAAAAAATTCCTTTAGTGGGTGCATTAAATAAATCTAAGTAACTACCAGGGAGGCTAAAGAGATTTTCTACTTTGGGATTACATGTAGGGTGTGTATATATATATATATATATATATATAAAAACACATCGTTTGGATTCTGACTTTTGAGGCAAAATTGTCAAGTAACCATCAACTGCCTGGAGCCATGGGAGAGTGAGTTACAGTAATAGACTGGTCTCCGTCATGATAAATCTCCCTTTAAACTATATCTTACCAGACACTGTGGCAGATCACTAGGGGACTTCTTATCTGTGAAATCTCCCTTCACACACAGCAGCCTGACAGAAACAGAAAAATAGAATTTGGTCGGTTCATCCAACTTCTTCTGTCATTTTAGACTGTATTTATTAAAAGGGAACAGTGTTTCTGCCAAAGGTAATATTAACATAAGTTAACATGCATTCCTGCAATTAAATCTCCCTGAGAAACGCTGTGAAGAAACATCCTTCTTCAGTGGTTTTAACCCAAAAGCGCAGCCATCTGAAAGCAAAGCTGGCTGGAAAAAAAGGTGACAAACCACTTGGTTTCCATTCTCCGAACAGGGATAATAGCATTAAAATAATTATAAAATTGGTCCAGCTCAAGGGAATGGAAATGAAAAAATTTTAAATAGTTACTCAGTGATGATACACTGATGGGAGGGAAGGTTTTGTATCTGCTGAAGGTAAGGGCAGGTCGCACGTGGATCTGAAGGTGGAGGCTAAGGCTCACCCACAGACAGCCAACCTACACCAGCTTCACAGAACATGTATTTTTGATTTTGGGAGAAGGCAGTTCAGACCCCATCTCCCAGCCAAAAAGGTTGGGTTTACTTGTATAAAAATCAAATTATAAAAGAAAGCCCCAGCCAAAACCACAAAACTCTCCTGGTTTTGTGTTACAACTGGATGAAGCCACCACTCAACTTCACACGGTTTCCACACAAAAATATAAATTATACTCAGGTTTGGCAATAGGAAGAAGAATATATCCCCACTTCACGGTTAAAAGCAAATGAAGGCTGCGTGTTTATGGGCTTCCTCACAAAGCTTTTCCACAGCTGTATCTGTTTTATAAATAGAACGAGTCAAATTAGTTATAGAGTAATAACCATTACAAAAGTGGCCCCTCTGTATTTTTCCACCAATTCATACTAATTCTTTTTCATAAAAATTGACTCTTTTTGAAAGTCTTTTGCCAATATCTTGTTCGAGCACTTGTACAGTAAAAGCCAGGACTCTTTCCAAATGGCCAATGTGATTATTCTTTTTTTTTTATGTGTCAGTAACTACAAAATCATAAAGTATTATCTCCACTCCATGAGTGGTAACTGAAACACCAGAAGCTAAAGAATGCTAAGCTATGAACAGTTTTCTGGGGCGAATTTTTGGATGAGCTGTTCATGCAAAAATCCACAAAACTTTCAGGACTTGTAAACCTTTTCAAATATACAAAGCAGCTTTCTCAGTATTCACAAATAACAAATATTTTTTTAAGCCAATCTTGGCATCATTATTTGGAAAATACCAAGCCATTCTTTCTACTGTCAAATTAATCCTATACGAAATGTGTTTATTCCTTAAGTCTTAAAAAATATTGTACTATATCCTCTGACTGTTATGGTGTTATAAACAATGATAAAGTTCTTTCAAAGTATTTATTATTCTACTTCAAACTGGAATTGTAAATAGGGAAAATGAGGGAACAGGGGGATAGGGCTTTTTAGCAAGATAGCAAGAATAGCAAAATAGCAAGATATTCAGCAAGCTGACCTAGAAACCAAGCAACTACACTGCATTCAAGTTGAATAACGCAACCATCTACTACACAGAGCTGAGGTTTGAGGTGGCGACTTCAGCACTGCATTAGCCTTGCACTCACCTGTTAGAATCATAGAATCATTAAGGTTGGAAAAGACCTCTAAAATCATCGAGTCCAACCGTCGACCCAACACCACCATGCCCACTAAACCATGTCCCTAAGCGCCTCATCTACACGTCTTTTAAATACCTCCAGGGATGCGGACTCCACCACTTCCCTGGGCAGCCTGGTCCAATGTTTCACCACTCTTTCAGTAAAGACATTTTTCCTCACATCCAATCTAAACCTCCCCTGGCACAACTTGAGGCCATTTCCTCTCCTCCTATCGCTTGTTACTTGGGAGAAGAGACCAACACCCACCTCGCTACAACCGCCTTTCAGGGAGTTGTAGAGAGCGATGAGGTCTCCCCTCAGCCTCCTTTTCTCCAGGCTAAACAGTCCCAGTTCCCTCAGCCGCTCCGCAGAAGACTTGTTCTCCAGACCCCTCACCAGCCTCGTTGCCCTTCTCTGGACACGCTCCAGCACCTCAACGTCCTTCTTGTAGTGAGGGGCCCAAAACTGAACACAGTATTCGAGGTGCGGCCTCACCAGTGCCGAGAACAGGGGCACGATCACTTCCCTACTCCTGCTGGCCACACTAGTTCTGATACAGGCCAGGATGCCATTGGCCTTCTTGGCCGCCTTGGCACACTGCCGGCTCATGTTCAGCCGGCTGTCGACCAGCACCCCCAGGTCCTTTTCTGCCAGGCAGCTTTCCAGCCACTCTTCCCCAAGCCTGTAGCGCTGCATGGGGCTGTTGTGGCCGAAGTGCAGGACCCGGCACTTGTCCTTGTTGAACCTCATACAGTTGGCCTGGGCCCATCGATCCAGCCTGTCCAGGTCCCTCTGCAGAGCCTTCCTACCCTCGAGCAGATCAACGCTCCCGCCTTTGAGGGACAAGCAAGGTAGAGAAAATAGCTCCTACTCAGAGGCGACCGGCCAAAAGGCCAGATGGATGCCTCCAGATCTCACAAAGATTGCCAGAGCAATGATCTTCTTGCTCACTTCAGATGGGATATCAGGCCTTGAGATCCCTTGATCCCAGGCCATCTGAGAAATGTATCAGTGTAAAGGAGAGAAACCAGCATTTATTGAGAATATATACAGACCTAAGTCACAGGAGACCTTCTGAGATCTGGTACAACCCAGCCTCACATCCAGCACTTTTCTTTCTTTACAGCAAATAGCTGTAAATTAGCCACCAGGTGCAAAGACCGAAGGAGCTGCCCAAATGTAGTGACTGGAGAAGGATGTTCCAGGTGAGCCCAAAGCATCTCAGTCACTCGCAAGCAGTGAGGCAGGGAACAAATTACTGTTGCAAAAAAAGCAGAAGAGAGCAGTCCCTTCTGCTTACTGTAATAAAAAGGCTTGTAGAGCCATGATTTGATTTGCTCTCCATATAGCCACAACCATTTAATAACCCAGGTTGCCACATCGCAAATTCAACAGATGTAGAGTGGTGGAGCATTCACAGGCCTCTTTGCACAGGATTGATTAAATGCTCGAAGAATTAATAATGACTGCTGTAATCTTCCAGGGCAGCAATAGCTTTGCAAATAACGTTTGTGTATACATGCTTCCCATAAAATTATTTGATGGGAAAGTTAAGAATTTTTCCCGTATACATTTACCAAAAAGTTTCTCTGAGCTCTAAGCTCCTATACAAGAGCCAGATAATCTCAAAGGTCAGTGCAACAGGTCTGTGGTGTCAACAGAAAAATGAACTTTTCTTTTTTCTCTGGGTCATGTTCTATCCGCATTGTTGTCTGTGAAGTCTCCTACAGGAGAAAACCCCACCAGTGATCAGTGCTCATGAACACCAAGGAAAGTTGGCTCCTGGCAGGAACAACTCCCCACCAGTGAAGCATTGTGAGGACCCCCATGGTGAGATGAAGGATCACCAAACCAACAGAGCAGAGATGGCTGTACGTGAGGTGAGCCATGCCAGAGGGCAAGTACATGGGTTAGAGCAGCAGGCAAGGGCCATGGCTGAGCCCTCCATAGTGACCAGGCAAAACCAAGGACCAAAGAGAAACTGGAGAAAGCACAGTGTGAGGCAAGGGATTAGCTGCACAGTAAAACTAGAGCCTTTGTGGGTGGAAGGGAGAAGTTGGTGTCAACACGAGTCCAAGACCCCAAGACTGAAGGAAGAAAAGGATGTTCCTGATATCAGAAGGGAAAGCAGACCCTGAAAACAGGGAATATGAGAAGACAAAAGGGAAGCACCTCCCAGCATACACAGTGGTTCATCCTCAGTTTTTACACCATGCCATAGTGTGTTATTGCATAAGTTAAAGGATCAGACCGTTTCCCCAGGATGGGAGATGTCTGTATGCCAACTACATCAAGAGCACCAAATATGAGGAAAGGGCTTGATGAGAGACCACCACCTCAAGTCAGACCCTGCCTGGGTGAAAAGGACACCCATTGGTGGGTAGTACTTCTCACACACATGTTGTTAAGTGCACACAGAGGGCACAGCAGAGCAGTTGTTCATAATGGGCTATGACTAATTATTTTCATTCACCAGCACATTTGGGGCCATATTTCTTAAATAGTAAGTTCTCGAATGGTAATGAGACCCGAGGGTATTTACCACACCGTTTATCTGTTATTAGAGCACACTACTAATGCGCCTGTGGGAAGATAAATATTAACTGAGGGGTTGGAATAAAAGGTCATTCAAATGCCAAGAAAAATGAAATTAATTGCATAAAGGCATGAAACAGTGCTGAATCAATCAAACACCAGCACGCTAATAGAGGCAAGATGGGCAGGTCAGCTGCAGCGGGTGTCCACCCTTCAAGCAAAGTCTGGATCGAGGGAGCAGAATTAAGCTCCTGTTCCCTGAGGTCCTCGACGTCTGGGTCCTCTCACTCACACGATGTAATGACATGGCTAGACATGCTGTGCTGCCTGCAGCTGACTTGGCTTAAGAGCTTACAGCCCCCAGCCTGTCCCCGGCAGCTTGTCCCCACCTCTCCCTCCCACTACATCTGATGCCAGTTACTACCCCCCAGAGCCACCAGCAAAAGTGTGCTCGTATCCAGGTTTAGCTATACCTTTTTAGTACATTTTACTTGTTCTGATCTTTAAAGAGGACATTTTGGAGAATGAGGATAGGAAAAACTACACCAGCAGATCCTAGGAGGAGGTGAGGAAGACCCGTCACCAGGATGGTGGGCTAAGCCCTTTTACACCAGCTCAGCTATGGCCAGATCAGCTCATGGCAGTACTCACAGGATTAACTCCTCAGAGAGTGACCTTGCAGCATCACCAGAGGTGACACAAGCATCTTATTTTCAAGCTTTGGGCCTAATTCTGTTTAACCAGGGAATCAGATGGTTTCACCACGACTGTATTTGACAGCCCAGAATGTCAATGCTTTTCTGCTTCCATTTGTCCCACCACAAGGAAGGCCCAGAGTTTTGGGTTTTTT